TATCCTTTCCATATCCTTTCTATATCCTTTCTATATCCTTTCTATATCCTTTCCATATCCTTTCCATATCCTTTCCATATCCTTTCCATTATCCTTTCTATATACTTTCCATATCCTTTCTATATCCTTTCCATATCCTTTCCATATCCTTTCCATATCCTTTCCATTATCCTTTCTATATCCATTCCATATCCTTTCTATATCCTTTCCATATCCTTTCCATATCCTTTCCATGATATATTCAATTATATTCTTATGAGAATGTTAATCATATTATAATATGTATTATGATCTTGAATTATCTCTAATAAATCTTACTTACTTACTTACTTACTTACTATATCCTTTCCATAGCTCTTTCTTTATTCTTTCCATTATCCTTTCCTTCACCCGCGATATGGAGTAAAATAATCCAAGCCAATAAAAGAGTTTTAACATTTTTAAATTACGACATTCCTTTCTATCCTATTCTTTCTCCATCTTTTCCATATCCTTTGCTTTTTATTTGCTTATCATTTCCTTATCCTCTACTTATCCTTTCGACTTTCTTTCCATATCCTTAACCTTTACTTATCTTTTACTTATCCTTTCTTTATCCTTTCCTTACACTTTCCTTATCCTTTCCTTATCCTTTCCTTATCTTTTCATTATTCTTTATTTATCCTTTCCATTTTCCATGCTTAATCTTTTCTTATCTTTTCCTTTCCTTAAAGCCTTTCTTTATCCTTGCCTTATCTTTTTTTATCCTTTCCATATCCTTCCCTTATCCTTTCTACATCTTTGCTTTTAATTTCCATATCCTTTCTTTATCTTTTCCTTTCCATCCCTATCCTCTAATTTTCCTTTCATCATTTTTCCCACATTCTTCACACATCCTTTTTCTTGTTTTATCTTATAGTGGGATATATAAAACTGTGGAATAGAAATACGGCTGTTTTCCACAATTTTTTATTTAAATTATTCCAATGAACATGAAACAGCAATTTTTTTCATATTCTTTTATTTTACTTTCCTTTCTTCTTTTTTCCAATTTTGTTTCATGCTTTTCTTACTTTCCGCGTTCTTTTTTTTACTTTACGCCTTTTCACTTTCTTTATTTTACTTCAATTTCCTTTACAAAATATTCTTCTATTTTAGCCTGAATTTTCTGCTAAAGATATCATTTGACGAGATGAGATACAGTGAAACCCTTAATAACGAATACATCGGAAGCATTTATCAAATGTCGTCTTGACAATTTTTCAATGAGTTTTATACTATATTACGCAAATTTCAGTGTTTGCGAAAATAAATAAATAGCCATGAATATGCGAGAACAGTTTTAAAGAGTTCCATATAATCGTTTAATAAAAAAACTTAATATCTGCAATATTCCATTATCAGAAAGTGAAGAATACGACATTTGATGAATTCTTTCGACGTATTCGTTATTAAGGGTTTCACTGTATGAAAATGTAACTTTTAATTTTTATAATACTATAAACTTTGGTTTTACGCTTGGTTGAAATTTGTCATTTGATTTCTCTCCTCACAATTTCTCCATAAAATATAGTTTGAAAATAAATAATTTTTTCTGAACTATAAGCTTTTCACATTTCTACTCATTTGAAAAACAACAAAATAGATTAAATGAGTAAATGAAATTATTGAACATAAAGGTTGTCAAAAATCAGCACGAAATGTAAAGATGCCTATTTTTTATAAACATACATAACTTTTGCAGGATTTCCAGCCTCGAGCCTTCTTAACCCTACCCTTTTCAAGCTGCTCGCATACCCCCCCCTTCCTTTCAAGTAAAATGCTCTCCCTCCCCCCCCCACACCACCCCCTTGTTGTGGTAATTGTTCTGTAAGAATGTGGAATGTGGAGTGGTAGGATCAGGGTGTGTGCCACAGCTTGGCAAAATATCATACAACACTGCGCGCAAAATAGCCAAAAGGTGAAATTAATGCGACATTACTGGGACTTTGTGAACTCGTGGCTTCTTTAGTTTTTATTTTACGCACAGTTGTGGAACAGCTAAGGACATAGATCAGGTGTCCCACGAAACATGACAGTTGGTAAATATTTTGAATGTCGTCTTCCATACTGTATTAAATATTAAAGGCTGTTTGCATCTTATTTCGTTTAAAAAATCTTTTGCTCAAGTATATTTTACTTTGAAATTAATTTTACTATAATATGACTCCAATAATATATTTCTATTAATTAATGTCTTTGGTATTAAACAAGTTAACAAATAATGGAAGAAGACATTCTAAACTATTTACCAACTCTCATGTTTCGTGGGACACCCTGTAGCACAGACTAAACTGACTGCCTAAGTTGACCCGTCACGACAGGCTACGTTTTTACGATAGGTTTTTAGAGTGCCATCTCACGGCCACTTGTTGCATGTAATACCCATTAAATTTTACAACTTTTAAAGAAATACTCCAATTTTAAAGATGAAACATAACATTTATGAATTCAGTATTTTTTGAAGATTTTGTGTTTCGTATCCAAAGGATCCTTAAATATCCCTGAATACGGATGTTTGCTGATTGGTCATGTACAGTACTTGTACACAATAGAACATGCCATGGAAAATATTGCGTATTTTATCTGATAATCGATCTCTGTAACTCTCTTATCTCTGCCCTGTGAGCCCTGTAGGTATAGATCATGTAGTAACTTACAGTACATAGGAATGATACGGGTTGCGGCCAGTTGCGGCATCTGTATATATCCAGTGTACACAGTTCCGGGGTATGTAAACAGTCATAGAGTAATATTACTCTATGTAAACAGTAGACAATTTTTCTATACCATAGGATGAAACAATTGCTGGTTCAAACTGTAAATTGAGAAGTTATACGATCATCAGTAAACTTGGAAAATTATCCTACGGGCACAACAAGACTTTTCCAACACATAAAAGCTTAAACCAAGGTAAAATTTTTATTCTATCTTAAATAATTTAAAATTCTAAAGTTTTTAAAAATTAACATTTCTGCAACAGAGCTAGACTGTTCCTCCCCCGCTTGTGTAATTTGTGGACATATTTTTTACAGAAGAAAGCTAGACCAACCAACGCATATTTTGTTTTAGAGAATGTAAAATAGTTTCAAAATTTGCTTCTTGCTAGTTGGATAATGTATAGAATAAAGATATTATATACAGATATTTGTTTACCATTTTATTTCACTGTGCACTAGTACTCTCCTTGTAGTCATCAAATAAGCTTTTTAAAATAAAAAGAAAGAATAACATGGAAAATAGTTACTGCTTTTGCCCTGTAATTTATAAAGTTATCACATAAACAGAGGCATAGTGGATGTTCAATTTTTATCATGCGTATGAATAGAAATATAGAATTCTTAATTTGGAGCACAAAAAAACTATTTTTGGACAAAAACTATATATGATAACATATTGTTTCAAAATTCAAAAACTTGAATTGCGATTGACGTAATAAATTTTATTTACCCTTCATTTAAAGAGGGGTGTGCCCGACTCACAACTGTACTCTTTAAACCTTTGTCTGATCTATAATCTTGAAGATATCGTCGTTTTGCTAGCTTGTAAAGTGGTTGAATTCTGGCCATTTTTGCCAGCCCCCTTTTACTTTTAAAGTTAAAATATGGATATCTTACAAACCTTATATAAGTCCCTTTTATGAGCACTTTCAAACAACGCGTACCGGCTTGTCAGACGCAGACCCGTCAACCCTGCTTCCTGTCTAGTTGTTCCTTGGGTTGATCGGCCCAGCGCGTTAAATGCAGCCAAATTTGTCGGACTGAACTTATAGTGAGAAGGGTGAGAAGAATTAGGATTGCTGGAAACTTGTTTTATTGTACATAAACAACATTTACAATTTGGGACCCATAGACCTGTTGATAGGAAGACGACATTGAAGCAATCTCATGTGTATTACTATTTAAGTTATTGTTATAATGCAAAAAATGTTGATCAGTAGCTTGAAAATAAACGGATTACGTATAATGGACCTGTTTACACTGAACAATTGCTGTCTTTCATGTTAATATGAATATTATAAATCATAATTTGAGTCTACATGTCGTCTTCCAATTCCACAATATTATAGATCCTACCGTAGTAAACAGAGATTCCACAAGCTAGACCTTCCTCTCTTGCCCAAGAAAACTTTTTTTTTACAATCTTAACAATTGTGTAAAAAACGGGTTACCCTTACAAGATGAAACGTTGATGACGACATTAAACCCTTTAAAAACAAGGACGTTTGATTCAGGTTTTGGCATTATTAGTATTATTAGTAGCTATTTTATCATATTTTGAATAGTTTGCCAAAGAAAGAAACAAGTTTACTACTGCAGAGAACCATGAATGTGAGATAAAAACCTAAATATATTCTTTACAAAGGTCTCTGAAGTCTCGTCCTTTATGGGTAACCCCGTACGTTGCAATACAATGTGTACACACTTCTGTGTCCAGCCAAAGTAGATTAATCGGGGTTGAATGATTTAATAATCATATTTTGTCAAAGAAATATTTTCTCACACTGTTAAAGGCAACGACTAATATTTTTTCAGACTGTTGGAACCAAGGAAAATATTTTCAAACTGTTGAAACTAAGTTGCAATATTTCTCAAACATTTTTAAGATTGGCGAAGGAAAGGGCCAATATTTTCTCAAACTGTTGAAGACAAGGACCAATATTTTCTCAGACTGTTGGAAACAAGGAAAATATTTTCTCAAACTGTTAAAACCAAGTTCCAATTTTTTCTCAAACATTTTCTCAGATTGGTGAAGGCAAAGACCAATTTTTTTCTCAGACTGTTGAAACCAAGGATCACTATTTTCTCAGACTGTTGGAACCAAGTATTAATATTTTCTCAAACGGTTGAATCCAAGGACCAAAATTTCATCAGACTGTTGAATCCAAGGATCAATATTTTCTCAGACTGTTCGAACCAAGGATCAATATTTTCTCAGACTGTTGAACCCAAGGACCAATTTTTTCTCAGACTGTTGGAACCAAGAATGAACATTTTTCTTGCCTTATTTTTTCCTTATCCGTTCCTTATCTTTTCCATATCTTTTCCATATCAATATTATCTTAGACTGTTGAATCCAGGGATCTATGTTTTCTCTGACTGTTGAAACCAAGGACCAATATTTTCTTAGACTGTTGAATCCAGGGATCTATGTTTTCTCAGACTGTTGAAACCAAGGACCAATATTTTCTTAGACTGTTGAATCCAGGGATCAATATTTTCTCGACTGTTAGAACCAAGGATCAATATTTTCTCAGACTGTTAAAACCAAAAACGCACATTTTCCTTGTCCTTTCTTTTTCCGTTCCTTTTTCTATCCTTATCTATTCCTTATCATTTACTTATCCTTTCAATATCCTTTCCATACCAAAATTTTCTCAGACCGTTGAATCCAAACATCAATGTTTTTTTTCAAACTGTTGAATCCAAATACCAATATTTTCTCCGACTGTTGAATCCAAGGATAAATATTTTCTCGGACTGTTGAAACCGCGAGGGCCACCAGGATTCATGAATGAGTTTTGCAAGTAATGCATTGATCAGGAACAAGGAATATCTAGCACTCTTGGCTCCGTCTCTACCTAAACCTTGTAAACTTAAAGGGACTGTAAGCGAAATTTCGAGTGACCCTCTTTGCTAAGATAACAATACCCGATTAAGACAATATCTTTGAAACGTTTATCTGATCAATATTAAAGAAGATATTGTCGTTTTTTAGGTTTAACATGTTTAGTTGTGATAATTCCTATATGGTCCCTGCAGTAACTTTTGTAGAGAAACCACAATTGAATATAATTAGTTTTTTTTTAAATTGATAACATTGATATATAATTCATACTTGAGTATACAAAGGTATATAATGGGTACCGTTGTGAATCAGGCATTTCCATTTTACGTGCAATTAGGGTTACAGACCATTTAAACAGAGGAATAAGTATAAAAGTTAACACTGAAAAACTTCGTAATTCATATACAAAAATGATTTTTAATGCAATTTAAACCATATAAATTTAAGAAATTTGTAGTTTTGGAAATTAACGTTTTTACCCCGCCCGGTAATGGAAATTTATCGTTGATTAAAGGGTAGCCCGGCCTCAATAAGGGATTTAGATTTTGTAAAAGACGTAAAAGGGATAGATTCCAGAGTTGGAATTTAAAGAATTTGAGCCGCGGTTTAAATCCGCCAAAACCCGGTTTAAATTAAGCGCCGGCTTAAATCTTGAAACATTTGATACAATTTTAAGTGGAACCAACCATATTTAAGCCGCGGCTTAAATTTAAACCGCCGCTCAAATTCTTTAAATTCGGCCACAGGTAAAATTTATGGGAATATTATTAATATATATGCGGGAAATTGACACTAAAAATGGAAGGTTTTAAAGGCTTATATAGAGTTGAATTCGATATTGATCGCTCTAATTTTACTTCTATAATCTGTTGCACACTGTTCCATTGAGACCGTCAGGTTAAAAGTCGTGTCACTCGAATGAAACCTTTTGCAGTAGATACATCCATGTCTAGAGATATCATAACAACCAATTTTAAAATCTGCACTGCAGCGTGTTAAGATGGTTAAAAATCATGAGAAGAAATTGGTTAAAAACGTCTTTCACCCTAGAGCGTATAGCGTCCATATAATAGCGTCCATATATGCAATTAAATAGCGTCCATTTAATTGCATTAAAGTTGCAATTAAATTTAAAACTAATAATTCAGATATTACAACCAGTAAATTAATGAAGAATTTTATTCGATGCATTCGTATAACGTTAATCTTAATATTTCAAAATATTTTGTTTATATGATCCGAGTGTTATTTTTAAATACATTCATTCCTAAAATGTTGAGGATTTCTGATAACGAAGACGACATCCTCATATTTTCCAGAAATGATCGAAAATTCAGCGCCAGTCGTGAAAACAAGTTTTTAACGTAATATTAATTTTTAAAAATGTTCCAAGGTGCATAAAAATGTTTTTTTTCTCGAAATGTTCAACTTCATCAATTTAATAAATTTACTCTTTAAAAGACTTGAGACTTAAACATGAACAAAACAAATTCCATTCCAAAGCTAAAAAATTTATTTATGTCCTTCCAATTCTAATTGAATTTTGTTATTTCACAAAAAGTGATTCAATGGTGTTTGCATTTATTTTTAGTGAACAATTGGGAACTTCATTATATGAAATGTCTTTTAGTTGTAACTTTATAATTGTAAAATATATCAGATATTTTAATAGTTCTATTGATTAAATGGCTAAGGACTAGGGTTTGTATACAGGCTTTGATCAAGGCAGTAGAGAATACATGGCCTGGCACTAACTCCCGCCTCTCTGGCGCCAGGACCAGTGTGGGGGTGGCGCCAGGGCTAAATCTGGCGCCTTGGTATATTAATATTCAAATAGGTGCAAGGATTGTTGATGGAGATTTTTTCATTCTTTTGATTAATATCTATACCCTACCCATAGAAATTGCTTTAAAATATGTTTAAAATAAAATTTTTAAAAATTGGTTTATAAGAGCTTTGAGACTATAATGAATGCACACTGCACAGTGATCCATGAATGTTGCAAGCTCTAACGCAAAAAATTAATCAAAATTTTCCAATCACTTCTAAAAAACTTTAAAACATGTTCTTAACAGTTCTAAAATCTAAATGTCTAGGTCTACAAAAATAGAGTAAGTGAGCTAGTGAGGTAGAATAACAGGCCAAGGCGTTGCGACACTTAAAAGTCGACCCAGTCTTGAAAACTGATGCAACTTTTCAGAGAAACCTAGATCTAAGTGAATGTACTTTACGGACATTTCATGAAAACAACCAGATATCTTGGATTACCAACGTTTTGAATAATTTTAATTATAATATTCCTAAGATAAAATCTTTCTCAGTTTTTAAAATGGAAAGAAAAAAAGCTTTTAACTCTTTCAACAGGAATAACTTTACTATTGAACTTAATTTTCCTGTTCAATTAAAAAGGAAGGTACATAATTTTTTCAGACATAATGTACGATAAAAGGCCTGAACAGGGGTAACCAGAAAACAGTGGAAATAATGTCGTTTTCCTTTTCATAATTGATTTTTAAAATGAATACAATTTATCAAAGCAAGATGTAATAATCACTAAAAGGAGCTAAGTCAGCAGAT